ATGGTTCATTTATACACAGGTATATATATATATATATATATATATATATATATATATATATATATGATGTAATGAAATAACCTGTCACCCCCATGAGTGACTACACTATAGGTAGTAGCTACCTATAAGTATCTGCAAGTCAATAGACTACAGAGACTAGCTGTGATTTGGTCTAGCTAGATGGTCAAACTCTCTGCTTTCAGGCAGAGAGGAACCCGAACGAGGCTCTGCCGAAGGGCAGAGTCTCGTTTGGGGAGGTTGACCAACCCGATCCTGTTTATACTGGTTCTACGGGCATTTTTGGGCTGAGCCTATGGGCACAGAGAACCTATGTTAAAACCAGCCTTGTGCCACATGCAACCCTCATGGTGGGTGGCTAAATATACTTGCTGGGATCTGTTGCGTACAACTCAAACTTACATGGGAACTACCAACCTTACAATAGTAGCACTCACTATTGGATTGATTTGTGACAACATTGCGTATAACTGTTACCTTTATTCTTATTGTATTGGTTTTTACAATAAACCTTTACTTATTTTATCCACTGTGTTTTTCAAGTATATGTTCCTATTAGCACAGAATATAACAATATACCTATGTCATTTGATTATGCAAATCATTTTTTTTAAAAGAGAATTAGTATTAAACAACTGATATTGGTGAGATTTTCAGGCTATACTTATATCTATATGAGTAACAGACCAAGAGAACAAAAAGAAAGTAAAAACAGCAGTTCATCAACATCATTGAGACTGGCTAGTACATGTAACATATGTGGTTATGTCTGTCATACAGCCATATGAGACTGCATGAGAGTCTGATTCTTGAGCATGGCAAATCAGTTCTAAGACAGCATTATCAGCAATATAAGATATTAGTATAAACTTTTTGTATCTATATCTATCTAGCTTATTGTATCAACATGAATTAGTACTGATAAATGAATTCAAGACATATAGGCCATAGACACATCTCTTTGATTAACATTATATCCTATATAGCTGAATAAATTATTATTTTATATGTTAAAGAAGCTTCTTGACATTTTGTAATCTTCATCAGTTTTTCAATCACTGATTTTGTTAACTTTTCTATTGTTTCAACCTTAACATAATCTGTATTTTTTTTTATTGTTCCTCCAAATCCTTTGTTTGGATCTTGTTTCATATTCTTGTCTACATCTCTCTCAAACAATCTCAGTGCAACATTAATTTTTATTTATAAATAGCCCCACAAAATATAGGCTATAGAAACACCTTATTAACACAATATATCTCGTACGCCTGAATAAATTATTGCATATATTAATACAGGTTGTTTCACATTATGTAGTCTTCATCAGTCTTTCAATGATTAATTTCTAGTTCTGCATATGATGTAAACTATATCCAGCAGCAAGACCTGTGATCAGGAAATTGGAGGTTTTGAAGACTTCTTAATTGCTGTTCTACCCTGGTCCACCCATCTCCAAGGATGTAGCACTTGTTAGGGTCCCAGCTATGGGCAAATAGTGAACCTCCAAACAAAAACACTATGAAAGTATAAAAATACATTTTTATAGTAAAATTACTAACAATACATATTTATAGTAAAATTATCAACTATATGCACTTACTAACAAATTGTATTGACTTCAGCCAAATCTTTTTAAAATACTACAAAACTACTAACATGATCTCTTTCATGACATTAATCCATATAATATCCTATAATTTCTTAACTTAAACTGTATTCCAAAATATAACTTCAACAAAACTACAACATAAAACACACATGTCACCGCCACTGATAATTATGTCCACACAGGCATGTATATGCACAAAAGGTGAGTATCATCTATCATATATTCAGTTATGAAAGCAGAATAGTGTATATTGTATTTTTATTACTTCCAAATCTTCCAAGAAAATTAAATTTCAATATTAAATGACCCATAAGGAGTTGATATGCCATTAAACAGAAAAATCAATTAACCATTGATTCCATTAACTTTTCTATTGTTTTGGTTCTAACATTACTTGCAACAGTTTTTTTTGCTTCCCAGAGATCATCTTTACTGGAATATTGGTTTCCATTCTTCTATATATCAAGGACAATATAAATTATTATTTGTAAATAAACAGAAAATATACAGGCCATAGAAACATAGATATGATTAACATACTATCCTTTATACCTAATGATCATTATAATTTTTATTATTATAACTTCTTGACAATCAATAATCTTCATCAGTGTTTTAACCGTTTCTACTTGTTTCACTGTAACATTATCTGAAGCAGTTTATATTGGTTCTCAGAGAGCATTTCCTTGAATGATGGATCACAAGTTTTCTACTTGACTAAAATTCTTCATCACTTTTTCATTTACATTGCCAAAATGATGCCAAGAACAAGCAATAAAATTGCAAAAAAAAAAGACCTTAGCCTGTTTTTCATGGATAACAAAGGCATCCAATGAAATACAAAATAAAGAATTTCTTGAAATGTTAGAAAAGCTTTATCTTCATAGAAAGAATATACAAGTAATCTGTAGTCTGTATTGGAAACAAACAACTTCTATATGAGTAGATATTGAATTGAGTGAGTAAAGCAAAATAAAAAGAGGAGTTTCATATCAGATTAATTTAACCTGTACAGCAAAATGATTTTAAGAGAATTAGAGCATCTGCCAGAATTTATTATCAGTGGATATAACGTTTACAATGTATGCTATTCAGAAGAAAAACTGAGAAAAGCTATTAGACAAGATAGATGATGAGAACAAAGACAGAACAAAAAATTAATTGTATAAGACTAAATGCACGGTTGTGAGTAAAATAGATGGGCCAAGATTTGTGTTTACACATTGGGGATGTCAAAAATAAAAGAGATGCAAAAATTTAACTATATAGACAGTGTAATCACAGACAAGAACAAGTGTAACATGTTTAATAAACAAAAATGACTCATCTATTTCAAATACAGAATATCCACTATAATAACATTTGAAGTAATAAAAATGCTGGATTAAAATAAATCCATTAACCCATATATATATATATATATATATATATATATATATATATATATATATATATATATATATATTTGTGTGTATTTAGGCAGCATATTTTCATTTTTACATGTTTCATTAAATAATATATTAATAATAAATGTTACGAAAAAAATTTACATAAAATAAATAGACAACACTTGTCTATATTATTTAATGAAACATGTATATATATTTATATATATATATATATATATATATATATATATATGATAGGATAACGCACAAATAGGGCAGGTTTTATTAAATAACACTGACAAGGTCTGTTTAATAAAGTTTATATATTGTCTTTTCATTTTTAAAATGAGGTGTTTTATATTAGTATTAATGTCATTTATAAACTGTCCAAAGTTGTTTTTTTTTTGGTGTTATTTAATAGAACTTCTTTGGATGAATTCTTGTTGCCTAAATATAACTTATATATGAGGTAGAAATAGAATGTGTTGTTTTTTAAAACCAATAACTTTGTTCTTTCTCTTTAGAACATCTAATTCTCTCTTGTCTCATCCCTTAATCAGGCTCTCACAATTTTACTTCTAGTTCATCTCTTTTTACGCTCAGGTTCCTGCTTTCTCCCAAAAAGTAAATCTGGCTTCAAAAAAGACCATCCTATCTATATCTGTCTCTTTGCAATTTGAGACTTGATCAATTATTTCACATTCTCAGTCTTGTTTTGTTTTGTTTTGCTTTTTATCTTTGTTACTCCCTTTCTGTCTTTTATTATCCATTTTTTTTTTGTGTGTTTATCCCCTGCCCCAACACCAATGTGTGTCTTTGAATGGTGTTCCCATCTCCCTGCCACTTGAATGTTCTTGGTGAACTGCAGAAACATTAGATTGTCTGGTTGATAAAATGCTGTAAAGTGCAACCATAGATCTAAAGGTAACTAAGAAAAGTAAAAAAGCTAGACTGATATCAACTTTGAGAGAATTTAGGACGTTAATCTTAATGTTTCTTGTCATGAAACAATAATTCACACATCAATTTACAAGGTCTGTCCAGAAAGTAACCAGTGTTTTTTGATATTACTCTTCTTTTATGTGGTGTACCGCTTGAAGACCTGAACTATCATGGCTCTCCACAGCTTCCTATTCTTTGTAGCTCTGTGTAATGTTTGTCTGCTTACTATCCCTCCCAGTCCCTGTTCTGCCATCCATTTGCACAAGCATTTTAGGTAAGTTACTTGTGTTTTCTGTTTTCTCTTTTTGTATTCAGGCTGTCTTTTCTCATATCTAATGCTTTTCATTAATTTCTTTTTGACGAGGAATTTTTTCCTGGATTGTAAACAATTTTCATATTAAAAATTAAAATAATGCTTAAACAAGTAAGAAGAGGGAAAACTTAGTTATTTTGCAAAGCATCGTGTTTTGAGAAAATCCTTATGAATCTGTACACTTCTCGAGAAAATGACTTGAGAACAGTTTGAACCCACTTATTTGCATGATTCCAAGTGGATAACTGTTCCCACCCAATCATGTCTGTTTATGTTATCCTGAGCTATTTTGGTGTATTCAATGATTATATGATAGAGGGATTCATCTATGAAATAATAATAACAATCCATCTCTCTTTCTACTCCTCATATTATCTTCCTATCATCACCAGTTCTTTTTTCCTCCAACTTTCCTTTCCCTTTTAATAGGAAATCTGCTTTTGTGAAATTCTTTTGCTTCTTTTCTTTTCCCATTAGTTCGCAAATATGATTTTTCACAGTTTCTGATTTTGGCTTTGTCTCCCGTCTCTACCTGACACAATATGTTGACGGAAGTTCACCATCCACCAGCCGTTTTGCACATGTGTGAGATGTTGAAGGAAATACAGGTGCAAAAGAAAAGGACAGAGGGATGAGCACCATTGTCAAAGACTCAAAGAGCTTACACCGATTCATTTCCCTTTTGGCTTTTTTTTGCAGCTTGCATTTGTGCTGAAACACAGTACTCCAAATGGAATGCGAGTCTAAAAGAGTCTCTCTTCTTCCTCTTCCTCTCCCCACCACTGAGTTCATTTTTAATTTTATCAATATTCATACATGGGTTGGTCAAAGTATAATGCTTTTTCTTTAATTACCACAGAGTTAATATTAAAACATCACAAAACATACCAAAATAATTAATTTCTTTACATTAGAAATATAATAGCCGAATTGTCAGTAATTCCTGACCACTGACAGTCCTTTTTTCGTTATTTTCAATGGATTCCTTCAATAAAATCCTAGCAATGTATTTATATTATCACAACTAATACATGCCATGCCATGCAATGAATATTGCTCCCACATCTTGTCTGATGATTCTGCTATATATATAGTGATTTTGATAAAATACAAAGAAGAATCTGCAATGTTATTGATCCTGACCTTGCATTTTGGCTTCAGTCACTTTCCCACTGTCATAACTTAGCTTCCCTGTTCCTTGTCTATCAATGATATGGCTTCCCTCTGTCTTTTCTACAAATATTTTTATGGCAACTGCTCTGACAAGCTATTTTCACTGGTTCCCTGACTGCATGAATTTAAGCATGCTACTAGGTTGGCATCTGTCCCACACTTTTACTGTTGAAACAGTTAAATGTAACCATTTCTTCTACTCCAACAGCTTCTTTTCTCGCACTTCCCAACAGTGGAACTCCCTTCCTCTTACTTGCTTTCCTGATAATTATAATCTTCAAAAATCTAAATGTAATGTCAATTGACATCTTCATGATCCCTGTTCTCCTTTTCTCACCCCCTCCCCTATACACTGTCTTTTATCTTACTTTCACTCTCTGTAACCTCTTGTGTATTAGTGGCACTCCTGCTTTTCTTGGGGTGAAATGCTTAAAAATATATATATATTTTCATTGTAATTGTTTTGATTTGCTTTTCTGTTGGGTAATTAGACTTTATGAATTTAAGTGCAGTACTAGACTGGCAGTTAGGTCTCACCATTTTTACAGTTGAAATGGCTAGATGTAACCATAAGCTCTCTGCTAACAGTTTCTTCTCTTGCACTTTTAACTTGTTGAACTCTCTTTTGGTTTCTTGCTTTTGAGTTAATTTGATCTTCAAAAATTTAAATGCAATGTCAGTCATTATCTTCTGTCTTGGTAATTCCTGCTCAGTAATTCTTTTTTCTCATATTTTTTCACACTTAGTAACCCCTTGTGGCTTAGTGGCTTTATTGCTTTGCTTGGGGTGAAATGATTAAAATGTACACATAATAAATTATTCTCTTTTCCCTTCAATTTACATTGGTAAGAAAGAAGTTCCATTTGGGCAACTTCTTTCCAAGAATTGCTGCTTTGTGGACAATACTCCCAAGAGGATGCTTCCATGATCTTAACAATTTCAATCTCTTAATGTTTTGGGTCAACCATTATTTATTCTGCATATGCTCAAAATCTACATTACAAATCTCCTCCGCTTTCAGTTACCACCTACCTTTAGTGGTTTTTGTTACAGAATGCAGTCAGGGCTAGAATGGTCAGTGATTGGCTGGAGTGCCTTGTAGTTGTGGTATTCTGACAGTGATGGATTGCCTTTGTTTGGGTTTTGGATATAAGTCCAAAACAGCTCAAATCAACAGAGGGCATTCAAGAATTCTGAAGTGTTGATATGCTTCCCACACCCAGGTTAGCGACCAGCTAAGACCAAGCACAGAGGGATGATGAGCCGATGTGTGATATGTGTTCCTGTGACATTATTCCTTCTACTGCCTCTTAGAATCCAAGCTGCTACCACTCTCTCCTAACAAAACAAATAACAAAAGATATGGTCCTTTTCATTGATACTGTTTTATGTAGTAGTATGGGGACTGAGAGATGACACAGAACACAACATTCTAGGGGATTCTATTCAGTGAACAGTACTGAAAAAAAAAAAAAAGAAATAGTCCTGTTTTATTAGTTATTCTTGCCGTAATTCCTGACCACTAACAATTTCTCTTAATATTATACATATAACAGCCCTGTTTTGTGAGTACTGCTTGCATTAATTTTAGTGCAGTCCTATAGTAAAATAATTTCCAGTGCATTCTGATAGGAAAATTGTTTTCAAGGCATTGACATTCTAGACATTCTACTCATATTCTGTCAATAATGCTTGCATTACTTCCTGACCCCTGACAGTCTTCTTGATTCCAGACCATTGTTCCTTTCTTCCTGATTTTCAATGCAATCCTATTGTAAAATCATTTCCAGTGCTTTATTTGAGTAAAATCATAGCAATGTATTTATATACAATATACATATAATAATGGCCAGCTACTTATTTTCCAAGCGCATCTATTTGCTAAGGTAGCTTGGAAATCCATGTTGCAAACACCTGCTCATGCACATGTATGTTTGTTCAATGCCTACACAGCCCACCTGTAGTTTATACTGCAATTATGCTGAACAAACCTTTGTTATGATGACTTGTAACTTTGTGTTAGCACAACCATTGACAGCTCTTCAACAGTTCTGTCTAAAAAATTTCACTCACAAGGCTTGAGCCAACCCATGGTATGGTTTTCAGGCTCCAGATTAATAATATCAAGAAGTCACTTTACTAATAAATCTACCTTGAAGGGATTCAAACCCAGGTTTCTGGTTCAGAAAGTGCATATTCAGCTACCAAGCCATACACGTATATATACAGTGGGGGGAAATAAATATTCGTAGACATGAAAAATTGTATTTTTATAAATGTAAAAGCCTTAACTAAAACAAATCTTGATACATTTTATGTGTAAAGATACATTTTATTAAAAAATAGTAATAAACTTAATTAATTCTTATTCTAACAGAAATTAATGCATTGTTTTCATTTTAACTGATGAAAAAAGTCTTCGTACAAAACAAAAAAGCATATTAACTTAATTTAATACTTTGTGGAATATCCTTCATTGAGTTCAACAGCTTCTAGTCTATTCTTGTACGTCTCAACTAATGATTTGCACACATTGAGTGGTATTTTGTCCCATTCTTCTTGGCATATTGTCTTCAAATTCTTGATATTTGTTGGTGCTCTTTTCCCAATTTGAATTTTCAAATATTGCCATAAATTCTCGATTGTGTTCAAGTCTGGGGACTGACTTGGCCATTGCAAGACATCAACATTACTTTCAGCTAAGCATTTCCTTGTAGATCTAGCGGTATGCTTAGGATCATTTTCCAGTTGGAAAACCCAATCAGGAGGTAGCCGAAGTCTCTCAACAGAATGCATTAAATTGTCTTGCAGGATTTTCTGGTATCTTTCGGCATTCATCTTGCCATCTATTATTGATATTCTGCCAACACCTCTTGCAGAAAAACAGCCCCAGATCATGATACTGCCACCACCAAACTTTACGGTTGGCAACATGTTCTTTAGTAAGTAGGCTTCACCGTCCTTCCTCCACACATGATTTCGATAATTATGACCAAACAACTCTATTTTAGTTTCATCTGTCCATAGTACTTTTCCCAAAATGAATATTCTTTATTCTTATGCTCTCTAACGAATTTTAGTCTAGCATCTCTGTGTAGTTTCAAGAGGAGTGGAGTCTTCCTTGGGATGCGTGATTTCAGACTGTTTTTGTGTAGTTCATTACTTATTGTATGCTTGGTTACTTTAATCCCTAATGCATGCAGATGTTCCTGCAGCTCTTCTCAGGTAACCTGTGGATTTTGTTGGATCTGGCATCCTAATATCCTTGCTGATCTTCCTCAGAGCACCTGTTCATCTTTGGTTTTCAACGCTGTTACAAGTTTTAAACCTTGCAATGAACAAAGCAATTGTAGTAAAAAGAATATTCAGGTTGTTAGAAATCGTTCTGTAACTGTTCCCATCTTTCCAAAGAGACAAAATGTGTTGTTTTTGTGAAATAGTCAATTCTTTACCTTTAGGCATTATTAGAACTTTCTCGTAAGACTAGAAATTGCAGAATGCTCTGATAATGGTTAATAGCGTTAGCTATAATTACTGATAACATTACTGGAACATTCTAGAATATACTTTTTTCTTAATTAATTGATTATTTTATTCTAATAATTGATTTGTACAAATACTTTTTTCACCAGTTAGAATTTAAAAAATGCATTAATTTCTGTTAGAATAAGAATTAATTAAGTTTATTATTATTTTTTAATAGTATGTGTCTTTATGCATAAAATGTGCCAAGATTTGTTTTATTTAAGGCTTTTAAATTTTTAAAAACACAATTTTTCATGTGTACGAATATTTATTTTGCCCCACTGTACATATAATATCTCTGTTTTTTCAGTGATTTTTGCAATAATTATGTCCTGGCCAATTCAGTCACTGGTTTTGTAATGTTATGGCCAATTCAGTTTTTGGCACTAATTCCTGAAAAATGGATTTTTTTCTTGATTTTCAATGTTTTTTTCTTATAAAACTATTTATTTAGGTAAGTTAATAAGTTCCTAATTATGAAAAAGCATTTATTTTACACAAGTATATATTTTTTTACATAATCTCCTTCTTGTTCCTGCTCTGTTGGCAGTGCTTAAAATACATTAAATACACCTTGTCACAGAGAAACAAGACTTCATTAAGCGAGACCTTTTAGGTGAATACTTGCAGAATCAGGTATAAAACAAATCTATTACCAACTTTTTAATTACTGTTAAAGCAATACTAATGTCTAGCTTTTCTCTCACTTTTTTTTTTTAGTTTAAACTGTAAGCTATCTAGTGTAAATGAGACTTAGATCAACTTTCTTGGATCTTGTGCAAACTAGACCTATGTCTATATTTTTAACTCTTGGGTTATCCAGACCTATATCTACCATCTTGAATCTAGTGTAAAGCAGATCTATGTCTAACTTCTTGAATTAATGTAACCCAGACCTATGTCTACCTTTTTGAATCTAATGTAAACAGGACCAATAGCTGCCTTCTTAAATTTAGTATAAACCAGACTTGTATTCAAGGATACCCATCTGCTAGGGCGGCTAGCCAATTCCTATTGCAGATGCATGCTCAGGCACATTTTGTGTTTGATCAACACCCACAGAGCCCACCTGTGGTTTATACTGCAACTATGCTGAGCAGATCTCAGTTACAGAAAGTGCGTGTTATCTAGCATGATCAACAATTTGAAAAAGGTCAGCAC